AGATGTTTATAATTAAAACAATCAAAATATGCAAGACAAACTAAATCCCAGCACACAATAATAAACTAAACCTCCTTTGAACTAAAAATCATGATTTAGGCCTATTTGTTTTTCAAGAAAGTCCAAAAAATATGAATAAAGTGTTTTTTTTTAATTTTAACGGACGCATGTAACATGTTATACTTCCTGTGAATATAATCGCAGTTCTAAATGAAACAGTCGGTCATTCATACAAATAAAGATGGAAGACATGTGTGACAGTGTTGTTGTCAAATACAGCTTTTTTATCTTTATTAGTTGAAAGGTAATATCAATACAGCATATAACAAGAATCATAACAATAACGTGCAAAAGACACATACAGCACATAATGGATACAAATATACATATAATGAGGGGATACAGCAAGAAAACAAACAAAACAAAAAAAGTAGGGGGGCAAAGATATATCACAGAAAGACCTCCAAAGGAGTACACACATTAAGTATAGAGTTGATAAACGCAATAAACGCAGTTCACTGATCTCTGTTGTGACTGTGGGGAGCAAGGCTTGTAGAGTCGACCTATGCAGTCCGACGTTAAACAACAAATAATCGAGAAGTTGGACCCTTGAGACACAGCCCCTCTCATTTGCATAATGATGCAGAAATGCATACAAAAATGTAAGAGAGAAAGAAACCAGAATGGGCATTTACCAAAGTAAATGCGTGTGAGAGCTGTCAGCTGTTAGCTGTGAATGCTACCGCTGCAAAGTACTGCTCCATCAGCAATTTAAAATCCTTTAGTGCTACCTACAGGTAAAAGAATCACATGCCACAGATTAATTCAGTTAAATATTAAAGCAGCAATCAGCGTTGGATGGGCACTCGCAAGTGAAGTGCGTCAGATATTGTTGCTCTAAATTGTCACGCACTTTGGAAGCTGCGCAAAATACATAAAAGTCACTTCCTGTGCGCAAAGGAGCACCCAGTAATTATACGTTACGCCCCAGTACATCATGTGTGAAACACATTGAGAAAATGTCTTAATCGCATGATGCGTGTCACACAGGGCTTACTTCCTGTTGCCAGTAGGTGGCACTATAACTATAACTGAATTTTGTGGATGTGTTGGGAGCAGGACCATTATCAATCACATAAAGTTTGGTACTGATTTAAACATGTGAAGCAATGTTATAACAACTTCCTGTTTCATGGCGAAGCATGGTACTTGACTGCCAAGCATACACCGTTGAAGGAAAACTCAGAAGCTGTACAACATAACATCATCAATGTGTGACTTTTCTGAGATAGTTTTGAAGTAGAGATGACCAACCTGTAATATGTGGTTCATCACAGCACAGAAGTAACAACAGCATGAAGCATTATGCTATGACTGAGTGAATGTTGGCATATTGATGTGTTCAAGGTGGGACTGTAAAGCATGTGTAAATCGCCAATGAGAGCCACAGCTCTCACACTAATAATTCTCTAGCAGGAGAACATTAAAGTGCAGTGTGTGTAAATCGCAAAATATATTAATAAATACCTCTAGGGAAATAAATAAGTTAGCATGTTAAAGTGCGGAGTGAGTAAATCACCAAATATATTAATAAATACCTCTAGGGAAATAAATAGCGTAGCATGTACACTTAAGTTACAACAACTTCCTGTTTTGTGACTCGACCAAAACTCACCATTTGTCCAACATGTAATCATCAATGGGAAAGGAGGAGTACATTAAAGTGCAGAGTGTGTAAATAGCCAAATATTAGTGTGAGAGCAACAGCTCTCACTGCAAGATTATAAGACTGCAAAATATTACAGATGTAAGGCAGTTGCCTGTATGAGCCACTAGGTGTCACTATTGCTAAATGTATGTCTCAGTTAAACCAGCAGTTCCTGGTCTTTGTACCTTGCAGGCACCGTAGTTATGTTCCATTTTGAGAAAATTGATTCTTTTCAGAGCTGCATTTAATTTGACTTTACATTAACCCTTATTGTTCCTTATTATTGTTCTATTTTTCATACTAGAATTTTGTTTGAGGTAGAAATAATTATTTTCTCTAAGAAAATAAATAAAATTAAAGCTGCAAGCAGCGTTGGGCGGGCCCTCGCACTTATAAGCGCGTCCGCGTGTGAGCCGGCCGAGTTGCATATTCTGGAGCTCTGCCGGTGCGGCTGTGAATTTGCTACGCGGTTATGACGCCGCATGAAGGTGTTATATGTCACTTCCTGTGTCCCCTATGTGGAGCTACATAGCACTTGCCGCTATGAATATAAATCGGTGTTGGCATGTAGATGTCTGCGGGGTGGGAGAGTTATCAAGCACGTAAAGTTTGTTTCAGATGTGAGCATGTACACTGAACAATAATGTACCCAAACAATAAAATAAATTCCTTTTATATTTCCCTGCCTTGTTGTTTATGTGTACATACAGAGGAAGAATGTGAGAACAGCACACATTTCATCGTTACTGTGTGCTGTACCGCAGTTCTGTGTCCATGCATGCAGCAAACTGAAAGCACTGTCTGTCGGAGCGTCTACGTGAAAAGAGAAGGAAGACATTGCTGGTAGTATTGTCTTCAGAGTTGTTAAACACCTCAGCGCACTGAAGGAAGCCATCTGTCTGTGTGAGGGGCAAGATCGTTGATGTCTGCAGGCAGAGTAGGAGCTCTCCTGTCTGACTGGTCCACCAATAGCAGAGAAGATGACCCCTTGAGACACAGCCCCTCCTCATTTGCATAATGAGGCAGAAATGCATACAAAAATTTAAAAAAGACAGGCAGAAATAAATACCATGGGTGAAAATAAATAAGGTAAATAAATACAAAGGAAGAATAAAACAGACAAAAATATTAAAACACACACATAAATAAATACATTAAAAAAATTAGTAATAAATAAAGTTGAATAAACAAATAAGGTAATTATAACAAAGGTGAATAAGTAAAGGCACTAATTAAAATATATACATTTATGTCTCCTTGTATAATTTAATTACTACCTACATTTATTTACTTTATTTTTTTGTGTATTTAATTGGATGCTTATTTATTTATTGAGCATTTATTTATTTCTGTATTTATTTCTGACTGTGTCAGGATCGGTCCTCCATAACGGGGTGGGAGAGTTATCAAGCACGTAAAGTTTGGTTCAGATGTGAGCATGTACACTGAAGTTACAACAACTTCCTGTGTCATGGCGAAGACTTGATCTCTGACGCCACGCCACGGACACACCCATTGACGAAAACTCGCAAATAGCACAACTTTTCATCTTCAATGCCTTTAGAAGGCACAGCACAAATTTGAAGTCGGTCGGACTAAATCCCTAGGAGGAGTTCGTTAAAGTACGAAGTGTGTAAATCATCCAAAATTTGACGTAAAATTCAAAATGGCCTACTTCCTGTTGATTTTAGGGCATCGCTCCAAGAGGCTTTTTTGTGCGTCTGGACAAGATACACGTACCACAGAAAATTCGTGCACGTAGGTAAAACGTGCGGCGGGGGCTGCTTCGTTAAAAGTCACTTCCTGTTGCCAGCAGGTGGTGCTATTACTGTCTGTGAATGTCAGCATGTACATGTGTTCAGGGCGGGACTCTCATCCTACATGTACAGTTTGGTCCAGATGTGAGCATGTACACTGAAGTTACGACAACTTCCGTGTCATGGCGAAGAGTTGATCTTTGACGCCACGCCACGGACACGCCCATTGACGAAAACTTGCAAATAGCACAACTTTTCATCTTCAATGCCTTTAGAAGGCACAGCACAAATTTGAGGTCGGTCGGACTAAATCCCTAGGAGGAGTTCGTTAAAGTACGAGGTGTGTAAATCATCCAAAATTTGACGTAAAATTCAAAATGGCCGACTTCCTGTTGGGTTTAGGCTATGGCTCCAAGAGACTTTTTTGTGCGTCTGGACAAGATACACGTACCACAGAAAATTCGTGCATGTAGGTAAAACGTGCGGCGGGGGCTGCTTCGTTAAAAGTCACTTCCTGTTGCCAGCAGGTGGCGCTATGACTGTGGGTGAATGTCAGCATGTACATGTGTTCAGGGCGGGACTCTCATCCTACATGTACAGTTTGGTCCAGATGTGAGCATGTACACTGAAGTTACGACAACTTCCGTGTCATGGCGAAGAGCTGATCTTTGACGCCACGCCACGGACACGCCCATTGACGAAAACTTGCAAATAGCACAACTTTTCATCTTCAATGCCTTTAGAAGGCACAGCACAAATTTGAGGTCGGTTGGACTAAATCCCTAGGAGGAGTTCGTTAAAGTACGAAGTGTGTAAATCATCCAAAATTTGACGTAAAATTCAAAATGGCCGACTTCCTGTTGGGTTTAGGCTATGGCTCCAAGAGACTTTTTTGTGCGTCTGGACAAGATACACGTACCACAGAAAATTCGTGCATGTAGGTGAAACGTGCGGCGGGGGCTGCTTCGTTAAAGGTCACTTTCTGTTGCCAGCAGGTGGCGCTATGACTGTGGGTGAATGTCGGCATGTACATGTGTTCAGGGCGGGACTCTCATCCTACATGTACAGTTTGGTCCGGATGTGAGCATGTACACTGAAGTTACAACAACTTCCTGTTTCATTGCGAATCATCGACGCCACGGACACGCCCATTGACGAAAACGCGCAAATAGCACAACTTTTCATCGTCAATGCCTTTAGAAGGCACAGCAGAAATTTGACGTCGATCCGACTAAATCCCTAGGAGGAGTTCGTTAAAGTACGAAGTGTGTAAATCATCCAAAAATGGCCGTAAAATTCAAAATGGCCGACTTCCTGTTGACTTTAGACTATGGGTTCTTGAGGCTTTTTTGTGCGTCTTGATACGATACATGTCCCCAGAAAATTTCGTACATGTAGGTTGAACGTGAACGAGGGGCTAATCATTTCCAATTTTCTAGGTGGCGCTAGCGAGTCATTTTGCCACGCCCATGTGCGAAACTTGTAGAATACGAAATTTTTCACCGGTTCTGACATGTTTGCAAATTTTGGTGAGTTTTCGAGTATGTTTAGGCCATGTCATTTGGGCCTACTTTGCAGAAAAAAAAAAAAAAAAAAATATATATATAATCCGAGCAAATTCAATAGGGACCTCGCACGGTCGTGCTCGGGCCCTAAATACACCAGATACACTGATGATACTCTGTCACATCCAGAGGAATACACAGGGATGATGGTGGACTTGACTTTGTGTCTGACAGTGGACTTCAGACTGCAGCACTGTTGTGATTCCTCTGTCAGTCACTGCTGGATGAAGCTCTCCTCTCCACTCTACCTCCCAGTAACATGGCCCAGTCAGAGCCTCTCCACACACAAGCTGATGCTGCTGCTTCAACCTCTCTGGATCATCAGGACACAGCTGATCCTCTCTCAACACCACCTTTCTGATCACTTACACTCTGACAGAGATCACCTCCATCTGATGAGAGAAGAAGACAGACAGCAGAAGTCATAAATCAGAGTCAAAGACAACAATATTGCCAAAGCTTAAGATAATACAAAAGAACAATTCAATTCACACAGTTCATTAAATAAATGAAATAGTTAAAACAATAAATGTGTGTGTGTTTTAATAACAATAAATAAATACATATACAATACTAAGTGTGTGTGTTGTGAATTTTATTCATATAGTTATCAAATAAATAAAATAAATAAATAAATAAAATACAAAAATCTCTCTCACTCAGTTGTTCTATGATGGTGACTTCCTTGTCCATGGAGGCAAGGTAAGGACACGGCTGCTAAAAGCTCAGCCCTGACCAGGGGGCTCATTTATAAAGGGTGCGTACCCACAAAACAGGGCTGGAAACGTGCACACACCACTTCCCACGCAAAGGTTGTCAGAATGCAGAAGGATGAAATGGTTTCATATGACTACTGCAGTGTAAAAAAAAACTAAATATTACTTCCAATAAAACCTCATATAATTTATTATATGGAGTTAATTAGCAAAACAGAAGAAAGCCTTTCCGAATAAACAAACACCAGTTTGATTGAATTTACTCCCCCAAAAAAACATAATTTAAGATCATTTGCAGCGCACAGAAAAAGAACCATGATTTAGGAAAAACACAAACTGAGGTATCTCCTGTTGCAAAAGAACGCCTCATGTTGTACAGTTTAATCGGGAATCATACTTAATACTTGCATACAGTACAATTTATTCTCATAAATAAGGTGAACAGCAGGACAAGTTACATTTAAATTGGTGCCGTTTTCAGTGCGTCAGTCGAGCAAATACGAGTGCATAGTTTCATATTGTTATCATATGTTCTTTGCCTTATGTTACTTGAGTCAAATGCTGTGTGCCAGCGTGTGGATGTGATACGTTGCTTGTAAAAACAGTATGGAAACACTATTTATTAAGTAAATCTTTCAGTGTGAGCTCACGTCACATTAAACAAATCATTTCTTTTAACTCATCGGCAGCCTCAAAGTGAGTGGAGTGTTTTTGTAGATACATGGAGATACATCTTTATGAAATGTTGAAATTACAGATGGCGTCTTAAAATATCTCAGTTTTATTTTTCAATCAAACTCCTTCAATAAATTACTGCTGATACCGTTATGACAGTTCATGCACACGTCTTCTCACGTCCGGTCCTCAATGACCACATTTAGTTCTACCTCCCAATTGTTTCTCACATTTACAGATGTTATCAGCCATGTCGGCTGTTAACATCTGTAAATGTGTGAAATGTGATTCCTAGTTGGCAAACGTTTTTCAGTTACCATAATGATGTATTGTTCAATACCTGTTGGGTCTCTTTTAATCTTATTCCATTTTATATGGTTTTGGATGTAGTGCCTTATTTGTAGGTATTGAAACATATCTTTCAAGGGAAAGGCAAATTGGTTCTATAATTGATAAAAAGATTTCAATTCACTGCCCTCAGAGAGTTTTTTGATTGTGCTAAGGCCATCACGTTCCCACTGTCTGAATCCACTGTCCCACATTGATGGGAGGAAGTCTATGTTAACAGCAACCGGCATAGCTTGTGAAAGAAAAAGCTCTCCCTCCACTCCCTTTCTGACTGTCAAGTACTCGCAAAGTTTAAACTTTCAGATTACCAACTGGTTGTAACTTGATCAGTCCCAGACAACAACAGGGGCGGAGATGTGTGATGAGACACACATCAACTCCATGGACAATAACATCAAATTCACATGAGAAGATGTCAACAACAACAGCAGTTTGGCCTTCCTGGACTGTGCTGTACACATTGAAGAGAACAGGAGTCTGCACATTGGTGTATTGGTGTATACTGGAAACCCACAGACAAAGACCACTACCCATTTTTGATTCCCACCACCAACTGGAGCATAAGCCAGGAGTTCTCAGAACCCTGCACCACCGAGCTGAGAACAAGTGTCCAAGCCAAAGAAAAGGACCACCTGAAGGGGGCAGTTAAAGCCTGTGGATAACCTAAATGGACCTTTGGGAAAACAGCCACAAGATCCAGTAAGAACAATACTAAGGGGGATGAGGAGAAGAAGGTCAAACGCAACAACATTGTGATTCCATACATGTCTGGAGTATCAGAGAAACTCAGCGTATTCTTGGGTTTAAAAAACACAGAGATGTTGTGTTTGTTGAAAATCGTCCTAATACAGATACTGGTCCACACCAAAGACCGCACACCCAAACACAAGAAAGTAATCTAGCGTATGCGGTCCAATGCAGTGAGGAATGCACAGACCTGTACATTGGGGAAAACGAAAAAACCACTACACAAATGATTGGCTCAACACAGAAGGGCCAACTCCTCAGGTCAAGACTCAGTTTAGCTACACCTTTTTTGAGGACCACCAGGTGCACATTTTAGACAGAAAGGACAAATGGATGGATGGATGGACAAATTGTTTGAAAGGGGTGTCAAGGAATCCATTTACACCCGGGTCAAGAAACCGTCACTTTACAGGGGAGAAGGTCTGCGACACAACTTATCCTCCACTTATAATGTTGTCCTTTCATCTCTTCCCAGGAAACTTAAAACGCCAACGACTGTTGTTACAACAGCCAGGAGCACTAAGGAATCAATGACATTGATCATCTTGACAATGACCCCACAGAGGTTAAGTTTCCCTACCAGCTGAGTTTTCCTATCAGTCAAGTTGCCGTTGATTTTAACCTCCCTTAGAAAGACCACATGGTTACTAAATGTAATGATGGTTCTCTGAAATAAGGGCCAATGATTTGCAGGCTTCAGTCAGACTGATCTCAGAGCTGTGACAAAGATGAACTGATCAGTAGTTTAGTGTTGAAATGAGAGAACAAACACTTTGAGATCAGATTTGATGGTACGACAGTTTGATGAATGAAGACCACTGTCTCTATACATCTTGTGATGCTGTCAGCTTTATTTCCTGTAGACATGAACACAACAACAACAGTTGTCTTCACATCAACTCATGATCAGGCTTCTGGCTGATCTGATTGGCTGACTGTTCTCTCTCTCCCTCTGTGTTTCTGTCAAATCCTGAAGCCTGTCACCATTCTCATCTCACAGTTTTACTGAGGAAAGCAGCCGCTGAGAATGTTGGGGTTTACTAGATCTTTGCTTTGATATTAACTGTGTTTAGTACAATACTGCTGAAACCAGCATGGACTGACTCCAACCCTCTACTGACCTCAGAGTCTCCAGTCCACATTGTGGACTCTCCACAAGATCAGACAGCAGCTTCACATCTGAATCCTGCAGGTTGTTGTCACTCAGCTCCAGCTCTCTCAGATTGGAGGGGTTGGACTTCAGAGCTGAGGCCAGAGAAGCACAGCTGATCTCTGACAAACTGCAGCCCCACAATCTGAATAAATAAAAAATAATGTAACTTTAGAAGACAATGTTCCTGCTTGAAATCATTCAGTGTTAAATAATCTGTTCAGAACTGAAGAAGGTTTAGAATACACCTGAACCCAACAGGATGCAGGTTCAAACGGTAAAATACAAAACGGTAAAAAGGGCTCTCATTAATATTAATGACAACGTGCTGCTACTTCAGTACATAGTAGACATAGTGACTTCACCTCTTAAACTCCGCAGCTCCACCAGTGGCTCCATCTATACAAACTCATGTTGTGCAGCCAAATACAAATAAAAACCCACAGAAACTGAATTAAGATTCGAATTAAGATCCCAAAGTTTCCAAAGATGCCAAATATGTCAGGATGGATTTGGGGGAAATGTGAAGAAAATGATGCACAGGATATCTCCAGTATTTTAACTTAATGAAACTATGCAGCCATTAAAAAAATCATGGCATCTTGTGTTTGAATATTTCAGTTAGTATAAACACTGGGGAGCCTCTTAAAGGTGTTGGAACAATGATATCCTTAATATTAATGTATATGACTGTCTGACAGGGTGTCTTCAATATAAAGAAGGAAATTTAGGGAGAAGACAAAATTTACGTCTAAATCAGGAGTTTAAGAGGTTCAGAGTGAAGTTATCCAGTTTAGATTTTTCTTGTTATATTAGATTTTATATGTGGAGCTCAACATCGCTCTGCCACAATCAATGGACTAAATCATAGAAGAAAATAGACTTTAGCATTAAGGTACTCCGTGAGAATCAGTATAATATCAGTCTAATGTCTGCAGTTTAGTGTAACCACAACTTTCACATCATATTAATCTTAGCAGAGAAGTAAAAAATGGTGTCTGACCTCAGAGTCTCCAGTCTACAGTGTGGACTCTCCAGAAAACCACACAGCAGCTTCACTCCTGAATCCTGCAGCTTGTTGTTACTCAGCTGCAGCTCTCTCAGATGGGAGGGGTTGGACTTAAAAGCTGAGGCCAGAGAAGCACAGCTGATCTCTGACAAACTGCAGCCCCACAATCTGAATAAAGAATAAATGATGTAACTGTAAAGACAATGTTCCTGCTTGAAATCATTCCGTGTTTAACAATCTGTTCAGAGCTGAAGAAGGTTTAGAATGTATAAGTTTAGAAAATGGAAACTTCAAACACCTGAACCCAACAGGATGCAGGTTCAAACTGTAAAATACAAAAAGGTAAAAAGTGCTCTCATTAATATTAATGAGAATGTGTTGCTACTTCAATAAAGACGTAGTGACTTCACCTCTTACAGTCTGCAGCTCCACCAGTGACTCCATCTATACAAACTCATGTTGTGCAGCCAAACACAAATAAAAACCCACAAAAACGGATTTAAAATTTGGCTCAAGATCCCAAAGATGCGAAAAATGTCAGGATGAACTTTGGGGAAATGGGGGAAAAATGATGCACAGAATATTGACAATATCTCATCTTAATGGAGTGGTGCGGCAATAAAATATCATACCATCTTGTGTTTGAATATTTCAGTCAGTAACACTGCATAGCTTGATAAAAGGTGTTGGACCAAACCGATTCTCAATATGTTTATTACTGTCTGACAGAGTGTGTTTAATGTATTGAAGGACATTTAGGGGGAAGACAAAATGTTAAATATAAACTGCGGCTGGCCAATAGAGGGCGCTGCCCTCCCTGGTTGAAAGTTTTTTTGGATTTTTCTTTTTATAATACTTTTAAAAAATAATAATAATAATAATAATATAATAATAATCCCCACAAAACTAGATGAAGGCCTATCAGGTAAAGTTATGTAGCCAATAATTTAACTTAAGTTAAATAAGCTAAGGCTGTGTAGCGCACAGAAGCCGTTGCCATGGTTACTCTCTATAGAGCGCCTGCCGTTTACTTTCAGAGTGCTTGTCTCCCTTTCTGTACACCTGAGGAAAGAGCAACCCCGTGGGGCAACGTGACTACGTTGTGATTTTAAGAACGTTTCTAAGACCGACATCTTTCCCAATACTAATCAGCATGCAGTGTATAGCTATGCACTTCGCTATGGCATTTGATCGCTTGTCTTGCTTTTGTTTATCTACTTCTCCCACACGCTGCATCCAGCATGGTCTGCTGAAGCCTCCCTCTACTGCTTGTTTGGGTGGGTGATTTGCAGGCTGATTAACATCACAACCCTCCAGTGACCCATGGTTTGACTGTATATGCATTCAAAGACAGTGAGCAATGGACTTTTAAAATAATAGGAGAAAAAACTGCGTTAACATGCCATAAAATAATTGTCGTCGTTAATTAATTAATGCATTAAGGCAATAATAACACTTTAACATGCCCAACCCTAATAATTACTTATTGTAAGTATATGTGTGTTTAAAATACACAGTAACGTGTAATATATAAAATATAAATAATTATGTTAGGGGGGGAAATTAGCTTCCTGCCTATCCACTGGGCGATAGAGACATCGCCCAGGCAGTACAGCAGAGCAGCCAATAGCTGACACAAGATGTGCACATATCACCATAAATTTAGCCAATCGGCGTCCTCTGCTCACACTATGTCCACTGCTATGCACATTAGTTGAACCTCATCATGAAGCAGGCAACTTCACACATCCCCAGCATCAGTACATTTTTTTCAGACCTTGGTGGATTTGCAGCATTCTTCTCCCAGTCAATCAAGCGGACAACTGTGCTTGATCAAGTGGTGGCACACAGACTTCCAGGAACTTCGACGACAAGGTGGAACTTCCAAAGTCATGCTGGTAACACTGTATGAGCACAAGGATGACCTATGATGTTTCCAGACCAGCAGAGACTCTGGTAACTTTGATCGTCCAACAGTCACTTAAACATAATTTACACTTCATTAAAGGCTTGTATTTTATATTGCAGAGTTTCTATATGATCTATAATTACCTTGTTTTATTTTACTCATTATATTATGCATATAGGGGGTCAAGGGGTGGGGGAAGACTCTGGACAGACCTGGTAAGTCCAAACGGGTAGCGCGGGTGAACCGCGAATGTCTGGAGGAGGCCCCTGTCCGCTAGATCTTATACACACTCCGGCATCCCTGTGAAGGTTGGGGACATTGAACCTGAGTGGGCAATGTTCAAAGCTTCTATTGCTGTAGCCGCAGTGGGAGGCTGTAGTCTAAAGGTCTTAGGTGCCTCAAGGGGTGGTAACCCTTGAACACCGTGTTGGACACGGTGGTCAGGGAAGCCGTCCGACTGAAGGAGGAGGCTTTCCGGGATTTCTTGTCTTGGAGGACTCCGGAGGCGGTTGCAAGAACCGACAGGCCGAAGGGCTGCAGCCTCTGCTGTGGCAGATGCAAAGCAGCGGGTGTGGGAGAAGTTCGGAGAAGACATGGAGAAGGACTTTCGGTCGGCACCAAAGTGCTTCTGGAGAACTGTCCGCCACCTCAGGACGGGGAGGCGGGGAACTATCCATGCTGTGTACAGTAAGGATGGGACTGACCTCAACTGAGGAGGTAATTGGGCGGAGGAACACTTTGAGGAACTCCTAAATCCGACTGACACGCCCTCTCTAGTAGAGGCAGAGCTGGTGGCTGATGGGGATTCTCGTCAATTTCCCTGGGGGAAGTCACTGAGGTAGTCAAACAACTCCACAGTGGCAAAGCCCCAGGGATTGATGAGATCCGCCCAGAAATGCTAAAAGCTTTCGGTGTGGAGGGGCTGTCTTGGATCACACGTCTCTTTAACATTGCGTGGAACAGTACAGAGCCCAAGGAGTGGGAGACTGGGGTGGTGGTTCCCCTGTTCAAAAAGGGGGACCAGAGAGTGTATGCCAATTACAGGGGTATCACATTTCTCAGCCTCCCTGGTCTACTCCAAGGTGCTGGAAAGGAGGGTTCGGCCGATAGTCGAACCTTGGATTGAAGAGGAACAAAGCTTGTTTTTGTCCTGGTCGTGGAGATACTGTGGGAGGTGCTGCGGGAGTATGGGGTGAGGGGGTCCCTTCTTGGGGCTAACCAATCCCTGTAGATCCAAAGCAAGAGCTGTGTCCGAGTACTCGGCAGTAAGTCGGACTCTTTCCAGGTGAGGGTTCATGTCACAGTCCAGATTGAAACTGCTGATTGTTATCAGCATGGTCAGTTCAGACTCACGTTAAGTTACAAAAATGCACTGCCATGTTGAGGCTGCTCACATAACTCACTAACAGTATACTAATAAAGCAAAACATTTGGCACAACTCCTACATTTATGCAGATTAGTACTGTAGCTCCTGTTTTCAACAGCTGCATGTTGTCATGTTACAGGCTTTACAAACACAATTTCTTATATGTACCGCCACAAGATCTTAATGTCATTGGCAACAGTTAACTTAATTTAGCTTAGCTTCTAGGTTAACATAGCTAACAACAACAACAACTTCACTCGTGCCAAAACATGCTCAGTGGAACTTA